TTCTGCCTCTTTCTATACATGTGAAAGCAAAAACAAAACTAAACCACTACAGCATCGGTTATCTTTTTTGGGCTTGTCTCAATCTTTCTTGATATTTCTTCCTCAGCAACTCAAGCTCCATGATGTCAGAAGCCTGATTGTGTTCCATTGGTTGTCTCTTCTTCGGAAGCCTGGACATCGCGCGACTGATGTTGCGGGGTGTGTGTTAGATTCCGTCTGTCGGAAAAAGCTTTCCGTGAGAATTTCCGACAGCTCGGTTGTCCGACTCAGTTCCCCCCCGGGATTGATCCACAAATTAATTGGAGCACATGGACACGCTCGTAACCAAAACTGTTCTGGAGCCAAAAAATTCCAAGCTACCGTCTGACACGTCTAGGAATAATTTTTTTCGACTACGTCCCCCCACCTCAAAATAATAAAAAAAATATTTTGCTGGTGGTCCCTCCTACGGTCCCTAGATCGGGACGGGTGATTATATAAATTTAAATGACACGGACCAGGATCCAATGACCTGCAGCAGGATGTCATGGTGCAGCTGGAAGTTGCAGAACTGCACCAGATTGGTGTCTACCACCAGAATCCAGCAGATGTGTTCCTTGACAGACACATCCTCCAAGCTAACTTGCGTAACTTGCCACTTGTCCGATCGCCATTGTGGGATAAGATGATCAGCCAAGTGGACACGCGTCTTGGTGGCCTGAAGGTCATTTGGGTTTGGACAGGTTGGATGGGTGAGTAGGTGGTGATCTCCGCGATGTTTTCATGTTGCCGATGTACTTTGAAACCAATGTAAAGACATTTACACCCTGCGGGGATCTGGGGGGTAAATATTAAGTTTAGCGTCGTTGGTGCCAAGAATTTGTTCACCATGGGACAGGCCGTTTCGATTTTGCATCAGCACTTCCACCCGCAGTGAGCAGACACCAGGCTGTCGATCAACAAACGGTCCAAAGTTATCTGACAATTATGACACTGCTATTTGTTATTATTTGTTCATAGCGATGGCCTCCATCCTACTGGCAATGGCCTCCAACCTAAGAGCGATGGCCTCCAATTACACTGACACTCTGGGAATTCCTCCAGTTTTGACTGCAGTCGCTTGATTGGGGTCTCATACAAAGATATACAAAGTATCTATGTACAGGTCGGTGCTTGGTGGTCATTACTCATCCGCTTTCAAGCCACAAGGTGGGGCAAGCATTTTTTGGATGACTGCCAGCACTCCATGGTCCAGTGTGGCGTGAAAGTCCTATCCGTCAAATCGACGCCTGCATACTTTTTGTTGCAGGTTTCAGATGCTGGGCTAGGCTCTAGCCAGTTGCGCATGGTGCTGATGTTTTCTCCTTGAGTCCTTGCGGGGTTGTTCAGGTCATCTCGGAGTAGCTCTCCGGCTGAGGGTCCTTGCGAAGGTGAAACCAGGGTCACTGGATGTCAGGCCATCCTTGATGGCACTTGTCATCAACGTGTTCCAATTCCCATGTCTCTTGCCCCCATCAGACTAAAGAGGGTGATGAGCAACCTGGTGCACTAAGCAACCTGGAGCACTCCCAACTCCACATGGGTGATCATTGGTGATTTAATGGAAAGAAACCCAACCACGGGGTAGACTGGTCTATTTCCCTTCTTCCAGGGTCTTTGGGAGGTCTCCCTTTTTGAATACACACCCACAACTTCGAGGCAGGCTGCTGGTTTTCTTGCTGCCAAGCAAGCGCTTGGTTTATTTGTTTTGAGTCTGAAGCCTGTGTCGAGGTGGAGTCGGGAGTCTACAGTGACGTTTACGACGACTCGTAAACGACGAGGATATTTTTCCGCGCCGAGATTTGTGGGAATGCAATCAGAGAGGCTTCCAATGTTAGAACAGGAGCCGCCATTCTCAGCCGTTTACGGCTCGATTAAGCTTTAATGAGTGTTCTATTTCAGGCCTACCAGTGCCGCTTCCATTGTTCTCCATGTCCAAGGCAGAGGCATTGAAGGATGCAATGACCTGGGGTCCTAGAGCGTCTTGGATCAAACATGCTGTGATGGTTTCCCCACTAAGGATCCTGGCCAGGTCGGTGGTCCTCTGTAGACGACCGATCACACAAACCACAAAGAACGGCGGTAAAGTCCGGCTGGACACTCGTGTTAGTGTTATTTGCTACTTCACAGGTAGCAGGCTTAACTTTGTTCATTTCAGGCTGCGAGCATTTTGCTCTTTCTCTGGGCATGGTGCATGAGTTGGTATAAGCTGGGCTTCTACACTTATCAGCTATCCGCTGGAAGTGGACACATTGAAGTTCGCGCACCTCTCTACATGTTGATTGTTGGACTGGCGATGCCTGGTTGCGCCAAGTGATTGATTGTTGGACCCAGCTTGGAAGATGTGAACTGGGAGGATGAGCCCTCATTGTTGGAGGCCAAAGCCTATTTTCATGGTTTGTTTCCAGCAAAATCATGTAGATTCTGTAGAATAGTGTGGGGGGATCATGTACCATCGATTTTGTCCAATCTTGACTGTAGGATCTCCAACCTCCTCGGCTGCCATTACTTTTTGCAGCAGGAGCGCTACGTGATGGCTGTTTTCGCCGGATTGGGCCTGGATGTGCCCTTCACTGCTGTGGTAAATCGCCGCGCAATTCTGCAGGACCACCTGTCAGTTCAAACTATAGGTTTGTGTGAATCATGGGCATGCAGTTTATCAGGGAACTGTTGGGCCTGTCGGGCTTGGGCTTCCCTGTGAACAATGTGCAGGATGAAGCCTGCCCAGACTTTGAAACCCTGCAGATCCGCACGACCGTTTGGCGGAGCATACCGCTTGCAATGATCTCGCTGTGCCCCGTTTTGATAGACGCTGTGTTTTGGGATGGCAAGGGAGGCCTCGACGTCTCGCAACGAAGCTAAACAATTCATCCAGATCCATCCAGCATGGTTGCTAACCTATATAACTAGTTGTGATGGCCTCCAGCCTAAGATCGATGTTTAAACTAGCTAGGTGCCCAACTGCCGAAGACACTTGAATTTCAGGTACATGGCCGCGAGAAGTCTCATCGAGATGCCACTGTGCCAAGCAGCAGTGATCTTAACGCTTCCAGCGATCACACATCGAATTGGTGATTATACTCACACATCCGTGTTTCAAATCTTCACTGAGTTGGAATGGGAAGATATCGATGTAGTCTACGGTGGTCGGTATCGGAACCCGATGGGCAATCACACCAGAAGAATGCTCACAGACATTATCTGGACAAATGTTGAACCTTCCAACTACCTATGGAAAGAGGCCAGATGTGACCTCTCGCAATGGAGCAGAGAATATTGCCCTCAAGACCAAGCAGTACTTATCCCAACAACTTCTGTGCCAAAAGAAGGCTATGGCACTATTGGTCACGGGAATTTGCGTGCTGCAGGAGTGGCTCTGGGGCAAATGGCAAGACAAGCTCTCCTCACAACCGGTGTGGACCTTCAGCAGACTGTGGCCGCACTGATCGGAGGCATTGTCAAGCGCAAAAAAGGCTCCTCTTGGGGCACAGCTTTTACTTGGGGTCTGAATTATGCAGCATCATGGGAATGGATAGTTGACAAGATATTTGACATGGTGCAAAATGCTTTGGACTTCAGCACTGCCCGCTCAAAGTGGCCACGCCAATCTCGGAGCCTGTGGCAAATTCCAGTAGCTGCTGCACTACTTGTCTCGTCGTCTTTGCCATTGGTCAAAGCCATCAAGCGTGCTCGATCGATTGAGGTCAAGAGCGACCAGCTTCTGCCTTTCAGCTGAGGATGAAGTGTTTGGCTTTTGATTTGTCCGGAAAAGGAAGAATGCCTTTGTGTTCAACAGGGAGCCTAGAATCAGGATAGATACAGTGTTTGTCAAGTGTATATATATATATAATGTTTTAAACAAGCTGCATGGAGCCGATCAACCATATCGTCGAGCAACATTGGTCTCGAAAGGCCTTCCAATCCCGTACCGTGTGGACCTGTGTTTGCCTTAATTTATCTTTAGTCATACTTGTAGTTACCCCAGACTCCCTTCATTTTAAGGCATGTTGTAGTGGCCCCGTGGGGAATTCCCCAATGAGATAAGGGGGGAAAGAGGTAGAGAAGGCGTCGTGCCCTTGTCGAGAGCCCATGAACATGTTCCGGGAACAACTAAGTCTGGGGCTACATGGTGCACTTGACGTTCTGATGCTTGTGATCTTCATGCTGCTGTGTTTTATTGGGCCCGCCGTGGATTCCTTGGAGAGATTCGGCTTGAGGATTGTGAACTCATTTGTAGATCTGTTGCTCCAAGAAGCTGCAAAGGCGTATCAAAACAATTTGGGACTGAAGATCTTTGACTTTTTGGAGCGCGGCTGTGGTCAAGGGACCGTGTATCACGCTGACCACGCTTGCCAGGCGCGGCGGATTTGGTATCAACCACATTCGGGGATCCAACGGAGCTAAAGAAACGCGATCGATGCACAGAGTTTGGTTTTCACCATGGTGTTTGTCATGATGATGATCATGATGATGATGATGATGATGATGATGATGATGATGATGATGATGATGATGATAAACTGTGATGTAATTGGTTTTGTGTTTTTTAATGTATGATTTACTGTAACCTTAAGTGTGAATTTGAAGCAATAGAAGCAAGTACATGTCATTGAAGATGACTGAGCTTTCGTTCGCACTTCACTGCCCCCGCTTCTCAAAGCGCGCTTGAGCCACGACACGTGGCCACTCGTTCATGAGGTCTGTGGAAAAAGGCCCACTTGTGTTCAGACGGAAACTTAGAGCGTTCCGCATTGACGGTGAACTTGGTTTTCCTCCTTTCTTGTTCTCCGTGTTTTCACATTGGTAGCGGAGCTGCCAAAGAGCAGCTCCGGATCCGCCCGCCGCCATGTCTCGATCTCCGAAAGGGAGCTCGCAAGCCAATGGAGCTGCCGAGAAGAGCACCTTTGGAAAAGATGAACGAAGCTACATCCCGCGATTCGACAACACGATGACCGGCTACCGAGAGTGGCGCAAGAGGATCCTGCTGTTCTCCCGCCGCCAGGCGATTCAAGGAAGAGCAAACGAGACTGGACTAGCTGCCCTGTCGGTTCTGGAAGGTGCAAGCTGGCGCCAGTGCGAAGACCTGGACTTAGATGTCCTGGAGAAGGATGATGGCCTCAAGAGCATTTTGCAGAGGCTGGACTCCCAATGGCAGTATGATGATCGAGTGGAGATGCCCGACGCCGTCGAGAAGTACTTCTACAAAACACAACGGAAAGTTGGGCAGTCGCTCCTTGAATTTTGCACCGAGCACCAGCAGTCCCTACGAGAACTTCAAAAGTACAAGATTGCTCTCCCTGATCAGGTCGCTGGATGGCTGTTGTTGAGAAAAGCTGGTTTGAGCAAAGATCAACAACAAATGATCTACACACAGACCGGCACTGACATGTCCCTCAACAACATCGAGAAGTCCATGTACATGATCCTCGGACAAGATTACAAGCATGTCCACCAGCCTGCAGTCCGACGAGCTCAGAACCAAGGCTTTCAAGGACGATGGAAATCCCGCCAACTCATCCACATGGCCGAGGACGACGAGCTATGGGACCAGGACGAATGGACAGAAGACCATGAGCCCGATGAAGATGTCTTCTATGAAGCTGATGAATGGTATGACCAGGAGTCCGACTATGTTGATGACCAAGAAGACTTGGCATACCTCCACCACAACGATGAGGACACGATCTTCGACAACGAAGAGTATGACATGGAAATGGCAGCCTACACGGACGCCAAGCAGCGGGTGCTTGACCTCAAGCGCTCGCGAGGGTTCTATCCAGTGGTTGCGATGGTTGACAAGAATCAGCTCCCCGTCATGGCCAACGCCAGCAGTGGTTCAGGTGGCAAAAGTCCTAAGGGACGTGGGAAAAAGGGGAAATCGAAGTCAAAAGCACCACAAGGAAAAGGACCTCAAGGAAAAGCTCGTGCACGTGATGCTATGGTCTGTCACCGTTGTGGCAAACCAGGACACTTCGCCTCTCAATGCAAGGCATCAAGCTCGAGCACGACACCGACCTCAACAAAGAAGAGAACTCTGGAGGAGTCAGATCCTCTCCTCACTGGCATGGTTCTTTTTGAGAATGACCTGGCCCAAACGAATGACCAGGTTCCACAGATTGTCATGGCCTGTATGGCCTGTGAGAATGTCGCCCCTCATGAGAATGTCATGACCCTTGAGAATGACCCTGTCCCAGTCGAGTTCTATGACTGTGAAGAGTTCTTTGAGTGTGAGGACGCCTACAACAGCTCAGATGTTCTCGTGGCTGAGCATGAATGGTTGGTCCCTCCGGAAATGGCAATTCAGGATCAAGGAGCAAGTAGCTTCCTGATCGGCACGGAGTATGTCCTTCGCTACCTGGCATGGCTTCAGCTCCTGGGCTTTGACCTCTCGAAGCTCGAGTTCAAGAAGTGCAGTAAGCGTTTCAGGTTTGGAGGAGACGCCAATGGCCATGCAAGATGGCTCTTGTCCGTGCCCACCTACATAAATGGAAAGGCCGGCTTCATCCAGGCCTACATCATCTTTGGGGCCACACCTCCCCTTCTTGGGAGACCAGTGATGGAAAGGCTTCAAGCAGTTGTCGACTTCGGAGCCTACAAGATGCAAATCCTTGGAAGTGATTGGCTTCCCATTGAGAAAGGGCGTCAAAACACCATGCTCATGAGGCTAGCTCGAAAAGAAGCTGGTCCAATGCAGTTCAACAACCACCAGTTCGACCTCCGAACTGAAGATGATCACCATGAGGTCCTTCGTATTGACGACTTCATCGAGGACATGCAAGCACAGAATCGCTTCGATAGCATCAAACTGAACTTGGAAAAGACCTTCAAGCCCCTCACGGTCTTTACGGCTGAAAACCTGGAACCACCTCCTCAAGACGGTGAGAAGGAAAAGAATCAAGAATCACTTCGTGGTTTCTGGAACATGGTGCTTGAGCAAGTCTGCAAGGAAGAAAAGCGGCTACAGCGTGAAGTCCTCCATGCCCGTGATCACGAACCTGAGCGACAACCAGTGGTCTGGGAAGTCTATGTTGGACGTGGCAATGTTTCCAAAGAATGTCAGCGACTTGGTGCAAAGGTCCGACGCTTCAACAAGGCAGCTGACCGCCGTGCCTTCTTGCAGCTCGCTGATGAAGAAGAACCTGATGAAATGTGGTTGAGTCCGAAATGCAAGTTATGGAGCACCATGCACAATATCAATGTCAAGAATGAGGATGATCGTGTCCATCTCCAGGCTCGCCGACAAGAAGACCATGAGAAACACCTCAAGTTCTGCCGCCGCGCGTATCTTGGGCAAGTACGCCAACCCTCACATGCTCACGTTGAGCATCCAGCTCATGCATTGTCATGGAAAACTCCAGCCTTTGCCAACCTCCCTGGCTACAGGATCATCTTCGATCAATGTGAGTATGGCGCTACCCCTCTGAATGACAACCATGAAAAGATGCCCATCAAGAAGCCTACACCTCTCCAGACAAAAAAACTGGCAATGGTCCGCAGAATGTCCAAGAGATGCAGTGGTGACCACGTGCACCAGACCCTTGAGGGCGGCAACAGGTGCCACAAGGCTGAGGACTACCCCATCAAGATGGCGCAACACATAGCACATGCTCTCGTACAACCTGAAGGACTTGAAGAACAAACCTTTGCTGCAGGAGATGGCGATGAACAAGAGCTGACTGGAGTTCTCCGGAAGCTCGCCACCACCCATGGGTCAGAAGCGACAAGACTGGCCTATCGACTTCATCACAATCTCGGGCATCCACGAAAAGACCTGCTAGTTTCTCTCCTTCGCCAACGTGGATGTGGGGAGAAGATCATTAAAGCAGCCGAAGACCTTGAATGTCCATACTGCAAGAACTTTGCAGTCCGCAAGGGTGCAGCTCCAGCTCATCTCAGCAGGGCAGAGAACTTCAACACCCACGTACAAGCTGATGTGATGTGGTATGATCTGGTGAATGAAGACCCTGATGGAGCCACCAAGCGGAAGGGCAAGAAGATTCCCATCCTTGTCATTGTTGATGAGAGAAAGCCTTTGAACGAGGCTTGATCCGGCACCATGGTCCTCCCGAACGTCTCTTTGTTGATGAGGCCACCGGCTGGGCAAGCGACAACTCCATGAAATGGGCTGAAGACCATGGTATTGAGATGCGGATCTCACCAGGCCAAGATCACACCAGGACAAGTATAGTTGAAAGACGACATCAACTTCTTCGAAAAGGCCTTGCTGTTTTCATTTGTGAGCACCAATTGACAGGACTTGTTGGACTCCAAGATGCCATGAATTGGATTGTCCCCTCCTTGAACAACAACACCTTTGTCAACGGCTACACACCATGTCAATTGGCTCATGGACGGCAGCCAAATGTGCCTGGCCTGCTGAGTGATGAACGCACTTCGCCTCTTCAGCTGCAGACAACTGAACAAGAACGGTTGTACAAGAAGCTTCAACTTCGAGCAAGTGCCCATGCCGCATGTGCCAAAGCAGAAACTGATGTCAAACTTCGTAGAGCACTGTTGAGAAGGTTCACTGGCCAAAATGAAGACCTATCTCCAGGAGAACGATGCCTCTATTGGAGAGAATCCAATGATCGGTTCCACACAATCCAATGGCGTGGTCCTGCAGTGGTTCTAGCTGTCCAACGTGATCCTGACACCAACGTGGTTGACGCCTACTGGATCGCCCACGGAACATCATTGCTCAGAGCCGGAAAACAACATGTCAGGAAACTTCCCAACCAAGAAGGTTCCATCGGCTCCACTGAACGTGCAATTCAAACAATGGAAGGAATTCGACAGCGACGTGTCGTCCGCATCATCGACCTCGAAAGAACAAATCGACAAAGTTTGGACGATATGGACCCTGACCATGCAGAGGCCGAAGAACTCCTGGCTCCTGAGGTGAACATTGACTTGGAGCCACTTCAAAATGAACACCGTCAAGCACCTCTCAATCAAGGAGGCCTCAGAACCTCCAGGTCAAAACGAATCTCAAGGTCAAAATGAACCTCCAGGTCACAATGAACCGCTCGAACATCCTCCTGAAGAACATGATGTACCAATGGCTGAACCGACGAATGTAGGTGAAGTCAATGACCCAAGTCAGCTTCCACCCGTTCCTGAAGATCAAGATCTTGATGAACCACAACCACATGTGCCGCCTTCAGTGGCAGAGCCAGATCCTGATCCAGAATGGGAACTTGATCCACTATATGCTCAACCAGCTGGTTCTCAAGAAACCTTTGAAGAACGTCGTCGGCGATTTGATCAACAAGAAACAATACAAGCCCGACGAGTCCATCCGGTGGTTCTTATCACCGAACCAGCAGAAGAGCGCAGAAACAAGAGAATTCGAAGACCTCAAGAAGAAGACCTACCAGTGGACACCGACCTCCTGGCCCTCAATGACACCAAGGATGTCAACAGTCTCAACAACTTGGTGGAAGGCTGGACATTCGACAAGGCCACCGGAGAGTTCGTGTTGGGTGAAACGAAAGACTACTGGAGTTTCGAAGATGGCTTCCTTGTTCGCAACCACGTGTGGTCCAGAAATTCCACCTTTACTTCCGACGAAGCACCACTTCCAATTGCAGCAGATGAGCTTCAATCAACAACTGGGTTGACCCTGCCAAACGGATCCCGCCAAGTCTTCGTGAACAACGCACAGACCTACTCAATTGGCAAGGATCAATGGGTTGGAAAGACTCTCTTCCCGCTCACAAAAAGAAGCAGCACACAGCCGACACCTGCCATATGCTGGTGATCTCAAAGACAGCTGGACGCTGCGATGCCGTGGGCATATTTAAGTTGGGCTGCAGTTACAGCGCCAAAGAAGAAGCCAACACCATCCAATGTTGATGAAAAGAAGCTCTCCTGGGAAGATCGCCTCGCTTTTGTGGAAGGAAAGAAAGTGAACTCAGCTCGATCTTCGAGAATGGTGTTTGGGAGGTGGAACTACATCCACACAATGTCGCTCCAGATCGCATCCTTCGAGCAAGATGGGTTCTCGCCTGGCGCACTGGAGCAGGAGGTGAACAAAGAGCGAAGGCACGTCTAGTTCTCCAAGGGTTCAACGACCCAGACCTCCTAGAAGGCAAACTGGAAACCAGCAGCCCCACTTTGTGCAGAACAGCTCGACAGACCCTGTTGGCAATCGCATGCAATGAAAACTGGGAAAAGTGGGTGAGCGATGTTGCCACAGCTTTCCTATACAAGGCGACCCACAAACTCGCCAACTTTGGGCAAAGCTTCCTCAAGATGCCTGCAAGATGTTGAACCTGGAAAGTGGAGCGTTGATGAAATTGAAAAAGCCACTATATGGTCAAGCTGATGCACCTCGTGAATGGTACAAAGTTGCAACCAGGAAGCTCCAACAGTTGGGATTTGCACCTCATCCTCTAGAATGTTGCCTCTTCCGACTGTTTGATGAAAATGATCGCTTGGTATGTTTGATTGGCCTCCACGTTGACGATATGCTGGGCGCTGGAGATCCAAGCTCATCGACCTATCAAAAGGTCAAAAGTGATCTTCGCAAGACCTTCGACTTCAAGCACTGGAGTGAAGAGGAAGAGGACAAACAACTTGAGTTTTGCGGCTGCAAGCTAAAGAAGATAGGTGAACAAACAGGGCAATTGCACCAAGAGGACTACATCCCTGGAGTGAAGCCCCTGACAACTACACCAAAAGGAGACCACGACCCATTGTCTCCAAAAGAAGTGTCAGCACTCCGTGGGCTTCTGGGAGCACTTCAATGGCCATCAACACAGTCAATGCCAAATTTGAGCGCTTCAGTTTCCCTACTTTGTGGAAGCATCAATGGTGCAACAGAGTCCATCGCAAAAGCAGCAAACAAAGCACTCAGGTTCGCAAAGAACAACAAGGACGCTTCATTGCAGTTCACAAGATTGGGTGAGTTGAATGAACTTTGTTTGACACTGGTTAGCGATGCTGCATGGGGTGTTCGCCCCGATCACTTCAGCCAAGGATACTTCATCCTGCTGTCCCACAAGGACGTGCTGCACAAGGGTGGCAATTTCAAGTATGTCATCCTTGACTGGAGGTCATATAAATTGCCCCGAATCAGCAGAAGCAGTCTGAACTCCGAGTCTCAAGCTTGCAGTGCAGCCATGGACTCCCTCGAGTACATTCAGTTGTTTTGGAAGGGATGTGTCAACAGCTCATTCACCACCTCAAATGTGGATGAGAAAACTGGTCGGCTACCATGTGCCCTTGTGGTCGACGCTAAAGCCCTATATGACTGCCTCAAAAGTGAAGCACCACAATTGACTGGGGATAAACGCACCCAGATCGAGGCCCTGGTGATCAAGAGAGAAGATGACCCAGAATTGCCGTGAGACTCCAATTCCAAGAGAGATTTTCCTTTCAGCACATGGATCGAAGTTCCATGTGGATCCTCAATGCCTGACGCTGCACAACGCTGCAGGTCGAACGACGATGGAGTGTTGTAAAACCTGCGAAAAGCAGGTAGCCAAAGACCGTTGGTAGAGACTTGACCTTCGGTCAAAACCTTTCCTTTCTTTTGCCAGTGTGAATTTGAAGCAATAGAAGCAAGTACATGTCATTGAAGATGACTGAGCTTTCGTTCGCACTTCACTGCCGCCGCTTCTCAAAGCGCGCTTGAGCCACGACACGTGGCCACTTGTTCATGAGGTCTGTGGAAAAAAGGCCCACTTGTGTTCAGACGGAAACTTAGAGCGTTCCGCATTGACGGTGAACTTGGTTTTCCTCCTTTCTTGTTCTCCGTGTTTTCACATTAAGCTTTATGATTGAACTCACTGACTCATATGTTTCAAGTGAGTTGAAACCACCAACCAGATCATGATCAACTTGAGTCATAGCTGCGCCTGATTGTGCCAGGACGAGTTTCCAGTCTTCGAGCACTATGTCCAGAACCATTTGCTGGAAGCCTACCAGAATGAGATGCAGGTCTTCCTTGATGCGGTGCACGACCTCTCAGTGCCAGATTCCGATCTCCTTCTGCAGCTCGATATTCCGCTTCAGAATTTGTTGTTGACCCGCTTTAGAATTGAGTGTAGACCCCTTTAGAAACTTGCGCCATTTTGCAACTACGACCCTCTGGCCACTTCAACAAGTAGCTCAATCTGACTCGCTTCAGCAATTCAGTTTGACGTACTTCAAGTGGGCTCCATCGAGCGTCTATTCCTCCTCGCACGACTACTCAAGCGTTTAGCCGGGCTGAGCGAAGGGTGGGACACAGAGAATGCCGATGGTCACAATATCGCAGACGGAGACGCAGCCTTCATAAGGGGCTTGGAAACCTCACGTAAGCAATGAGTTCTTATTCTGTAGTGGGTCCTGCAAGCACTTCACAAGGAATTTTCCACACACATGCGAGACAAGTACAGGAAACAACACAGTCATTTCCAGGCTTGCCAGTGCAGTTCGCAATGGAACACCTTTGGACTTGGACAGATTACGCCAAGACAGCGAGAGCTACCGGGAGAGGGGTTCTTATTTCCAGTATAGGAAGAGGTGTCCTCGTTGCAGGGTGTTGCTGCCAGATGTTTGTGGTACTGTGCGCTTCGCCAGTACCGCTTTTCTGCCACTGTCCAGGCTTGGCATAGTTTTTTGGTCGGGGGTGTGCAGTTTTGGACCTCGCCTGCATCTCGCCCGGATCCCGCCCAGGGCCACCATCCGCTGCTGTTCGTGTGCTGCTGCTTGTGTTGAGGCGGGCGCTGTTGGTGCTTTCTTTCTTTGCCCTCGACCATAAGTCTCCACTCTCTTTCGTCTGCGCAGCCCCCCCGAAACTGAGCGAAAACCAAGGGTTGTGGAGGCCAGTTGTGTGAGTTGTGGTGCTTTGCTGCTGCTGCTGCTGCTGCTGCCGCCACTGCTGCCACTGCTGCCGCCACTGCTGCCACTGCTGCCGCCGCCGCCGGTGCTGCTGCTGCTGCTTGTTTGCTGCTGCTGCTCAGAATCTTCCAACCTCTACCTTTTGTCCACCTCCATCACCTCAAGTCGAGTCACCTGATGTGTCTAAAGTTGGTGGCAGAATTTCTACAGCGTTCCATTGGGATTGACGCGCGGGAAGCAGATGTAAAATCAATCAAACCCACACTCTTTCAGAACTAGCGTTCCATTGGTCTTTGCACTCTTTGGGTCGGCTTTTTGGTGACAAACCTTGTTTGGGTGTCAGGGGGTGACTGGGGGATGACTTCTTGGAAACAACGTTGCCATGGTGATTTGGCTTTGAAGTATTGGCAGGGGGTTCCTGTAGAGAGCTAGTTCAAGTAATTAGTGAAATCAAGCGTCATGTTCACATAACTGCCCTTCACAACGAAGCCTCACTGAATGTTTGGTTTATTTGGACAACCTACAACCATCTCGTCGTGTGAGGCAGGCCCTTGGCTTTTGCATTTTCTTCGCCCTCTCAGTCCTCATCGCTCGTGTCTTGCTGGGGAAGATGAGGCTCTCCACTGCAGGATTGCTGAATGTTGGAATTACCGGGCCCATGCACCTCGCCGCACTTGCTCCCAAGTCGGATCTTGAGGAGGTGCTTGAAAGCATCACCATCTTGATCCCACTGCGTGGCGCAATATTGACCGTAGTTTTGTACGCAGCATGGGGCAGCCGAAATCCAGAACCATTCACAGCTTTTGCACTGAACCACCCAGTGAACCTTTTCAACCTTCAGTTTGCTTGGTTGGTGCTTTGGTTCGCGCATCTTGGCTGAGGGAGTTATTGCAGCTTCATACAGAATCAAATCAAATATAATAGGAGTTCATGGCGTGTGAACATGCAATCATTGCCAGACCATCAGTTGACTTTGTTTGCCATTGCCATGCACGAATTTCTATAATTTTTAAACCCTCGACCCACGGTATGGAGGTACAATTGTCCAGTATAAAATCAGGGGGGTCAACCCTCCTTATGAAACGATTTATCTATGCTAAATTAGACGTCACACCCCCCATTTCATAGACAGACCATTGTTGAAGCAGAATTATAAGACTTCAAGAGGGGGTCAACACTCGGAGTTTTATACAGTCGATGGTTGCTTGCTTATTTTTTAAAACTATATTCCCCTGAGGGGGGGAAGACAATGCTAGGCAACAATGGCAATCTGCAGGAATCTGCAGGAATCTGCAGACCTGACCCATGAATGTCGATGTTTGTAAGTGGCAATGACAATCTACAGCAATCTGCAGACGTCACCGTGGGTCGATCATTCATGAGTTTCCAGCTTTCAAATTTCAAACAAACAAATACAGTAGTCGTTTGTTGCTGAATATTGATCATAACGTAGGCTAGCATCCTATATAGGAGCCTGTCATTGTCACTCAACCTGTGCCCAGGCATGTGTTCACTGGTTGGCTGGGTGTGTCTGCGCTACGATCCTATGTGCCTTCAGATGAGGAGTTTGCCAGAACAAATGCCATGCAGCAGCTTAGGTTTGATTCACATGGTTGTTTTGATAGTGTTTCGATCAACACCTTTTGTTCACCATTTGCTTGAAAAACCTCGCTTCTCTCTGAGGCCTGCAGACTATGGCGCCACTGGCTCCATCCTCTATGCCCCACCTGGATTGACTGACAATTTAGGACCACCTGGTTTCAAACGCGAAGATGTTTGAATCCATTCCTTTCACCAAGACTTCCCTTTCGTCTGAGACTGGGACAGTCTCAAGACGGCAAAGCCTCGATCCGTGCACAGACATGGCCGCCATGGTCAGCTTTGGTGAGTGCTACAAGTCCGTAGGGCTCCTGAGAAGGGTCGTTGACCTCGCACGGCCGTGGAACCACTTTGCCGGTCCATTTGAGGCCAAGCCGGCGCACGGTGGCAATGAAACCAGGCGCGCGGGGGTGCTGCCGAGGCAGAGAAGCATGAAAACTAGACGACGAGTGGCCCGAAAGCATTTTTCATCACGTAGGAAGTCAGAGTGTGAGTTATCTGTTAAGTGTTCAGTGTGAAGTGTTAAGTCGAGTGAGTTGAGGCAGTGTGTGGGTCTCTGTGTGTGTGTATCTATGTCTGTGTGTGTATGAGTCTCTGTCTGTGTGTGTCAGCCGCGAGAGATGACTCATCCGCGTACTAAAGTTGCACTGCAAAGTCACCAGTTCTCAGCTTCCAGCTCCCCAGATACTCCGCGTACTAAAGTTGTACTACAAAGT